GGTTTGGTAAGAAACCTTTGCGGTTTGTGCAATTTTTCATTGAGAATAATTTGTATTTTGTAAAAGACATGTTTATCAATTTTTAATGTAACTGTAATAATAGTAACAATGTATAATGCAGGTTGTTGACCAATGGTTTATAATCGAAATTTAATATGGCTGGCGGTAAAGGTAAAGAGAAAGTTTAAAGGAACAAACATTAGGTATTTACTTGTAAGTTAAGTGTAAAATTATATATTTTTTAAAAATCACAGTTCGTTTTTTTAATGCTATTTTATATTTAACTTTTTGATATATTTGATGCAAATTACTCAGGCAATACCTTTTTTTATAGAGGGCGTTTTGTCAAATAAAGTGACTGCTACAGATACCGAAATAAGAAAAAAAATAATGACTTTATTAAAATACGCACTCGACAGATCAAATGGTGGTGGTCGGCGCGTAAAAAGCAATTCACCCGATGTATAACATTCATACTTTTTCCTAGTTGTTCTGGAACTATTGATAATAGTTATTATTGATAAATTGATAAATATATTACTGATAAGTAAAACTTTTTTTTTTTCAAACATTTTACTTTTTTTGCATTGTATATAAAGTCCGTTGAAGCAATTTAGTTGTATCTGATTAATTTACGTGAAATATAATATTCTTCGCGCAAATTATTGCTTTTTTATTGTGTTAATTTATTGCAATTAAAGTTGAGATAATTTTTTAGTTAATTGGATTTAACCTAAATAAAAAACAAAAATCAACGTTGAATTTACGTTGTTTCAACGTTGTTCTAACGTCTTATCAACTACGTATCAATCGAATATATCATCTATTTAAAGTTGAAATATGGTTGATATGTAGTCGATAAAACGTTAGATCAACGTTGAAACAACGTAATCATCGACGTTGTTTCACCGTCGTAGTTTTCGACGTCGGATTTTATTTCCAATTCAACTAAATTTCAACGTTGTTTCAACGTGGCATATGGTCGGTTTACGACGTTGTTTCAACGTTATTTCAACGTCATAGTGCCTGCTGGGGAATATGATATAATGCCAATAAAGTTGGAGTGCATTGCTTATGTCCGAAAACGATTAGGTACTCGATTGCGTAACATTGTCAAGTCTCATAAAGGCACTAAAACACCTCTCTCAGGAAAAGGGAAACTTACTGAAAGTTGCATTAACTCAATGCAAAATTACTTTGGTTGCGCTATTAGAAATAACCTTGATAATATGTATTCAATGAAGAAAGCTGTTTATGCAATAGTTTTTCATTTTACAGATATTCCAAATCCTAAACGACATTAATTTTGTCCACGAAATGATTCATCTTGGTGCAAATATTGGACTCTAAGTAAAAGTTACAAACCAAATATATCTATTCCTCCATTCATAAAAAATCTCATTACACCCATTTTTATAGATTTCAGAAAGATGACTTACTGTTGAAATGTTTGCATGGTCAAACACAAAATTCAAATGAAGCGCTCAACTCACTAATATGGTCCAAGGTACCCAAAATCACATTTGTTAGTAAAGATGTTGTGGAAATGGGTGTAAACTCTGCCATTTTAAATTTTAATGATGGTAGAAGTGGTGTATTTAAAGTATTACAGCATTTTTATATACAAGGAAATGTTACACAATTGACAACAAGTTTAGCAGATAATGTAAGAGTGTAACAGATAAAACGTAAGACTATTACGTAACTATTACGTAACTATTATGGCAAAAAAACAGAGAAAAAAACTAAGAGCAATAAAAAAAGGATTCAGTAAGAATCTTAAAGCAAAGGAACCTCAAGACTCATATGTTTTAGGAGGATTTTAACATGATTTTACTGTTTAAATGTGATTTTTTCTTTATTTTGTACTTATTTTTGTTTTTTCTGCAAGTTGAGTTTTTCATATTTTATCGAAATTTCAAAACATGATTTTTTCTAATTGAATAAAGCTTCTGTTCTGAAATTTTTAGGACATATTCCCAACACCATTAGAATTCATTTGACAGATAGATTTTTTTATTTATTTTCAAAACTCATTTTTTTTAGTTTTAACTTCTTTAAACTGCTTGTAAATTGTACAAAATTTAACTTATCTTAAAAAAAAGGTCATATCTTTACATAAGGAATAAAAGGAATAATTAAAAATCTATCTGTTAAATGGAATAAAATAAGGTCATCAACAGATCTGCAAAGTTTGATTCATGGTTTTTAAGTCTAACTCAAGATAACGTGTTTTGAAAACGTAAGAATTTTGACTTAATTTACACTGTTTTTGCGCCATTATGATTTTTTGGTTAACTTTTCCGCCCACATCCTTTTTTTTTTAATAGTCTTGATCCTGTAGAAAGTAAAGTATGAGGAGAGAAAGTGGTGGGAAAAAAATACGCTGCATCTATAATTTGTATTTTTGTGGTTGGTTAATCTACCAATTGGTAATTGATAATGCAAACTTAGTTAAATTTGTTTTGTAAAAACATACTTTTCTTTATATATTTTGTTTTGTTATTATTTATAAATAAATTGATTTCGAGTTAATATATGTGTATTTTTTTTTTCCTTTCTTAATTCGATTACTTCTGATATTATGAATACGCTAATTTAATATTAGTCGAGTTACGTCATTTTCTAGGCTTTTCTATTTTAAAGTAGTTTCTAGGCTTTTCTATACGCGGGTTTTTTTTTATTTTATTTACTAACAACGCGTATTACGGGTTGCTTACTGCTTACTGCTAGTTTTACATTAATCAGATGACGTGTTTGTTCAATATAGACATACAATTGAAAACCATTAAAAATTGTTATATTTTTTTAATTTGTTAATTAATGTGTAAATAAAAATATCTTTAATTTTACAAAGCTTCTAGGCATTTTTTTTTTTAAAACCACTATCATTTTTGAATCCTTCATCATTCGTATTTTATGTGAACGAAATGTCTATGGAAAAATCTGACGTAAACTTCAAGTTTTGTTAATTATTAAAAATTATGTTAAATTATGTTAAATGTTACACATTTACTTTAACTTGAAAAATTTATTAGGTAGATATTTTCTTATTTTGAGTTGTATGAGTTTTTATAAATGTTTATAAACAAATTAATGCCTTTTTAAAAGTCTTTAGTTAATTAAACAGTGTTAAAAGATAATATTGTAGCATGCCAAAGTGGTTGAAATAATTCGCGTGGACCTAAACCTTTTCGTTTTCACACATAATATTTTTATCAGAGCAATTTTAAAGTTCTCTTGAGATTATATGCATATCATATATAAAGGTATACTATAACAAACCTAAGGGTGAGAATTTTTTTTAAAAACTTTTTAAAATTTCTTAAAACACGAAAACACCGTTTGAAGTTTGTTGCACGCGTATGTCACGTAAGAGTTTAAGGTTTTAAAACGATTAGTAATAGATTAAGTGTGCGCATTAAAGAGAACTTTCTTTTTTTATAGAAAAAAGATTTTACATGAAAACTTTACTTTTCTTTAAAATTAACAGTGCAAGAGTCCTAATAAAAGGGATCTTTTTCCGAATTTTTCTCAATTTTCAGATTCCGGATAGCTAAAATGTTTTCTATACAAGTTCAGGAATACATTTTTGTAATATATATATTTTTTCAGCTTTTACACTCATACTTAAATAAAAAAAAAATTGAAACAACTCAGTTGAAAGCAAAATTAAGACAAAAATATAATACGGAGATTTTACCCAAACAATTTTCCGCATTTTTATAAAATTACCTGAATGATCTATGAAATAATCTGTTGTCCGTCGCCGTTATATATATATACATATATATATATATATATATATATATATATATATATATATATATATATATATATATATATATATATATATATATATATATATATATATATATATATATATATATATATATATATATATATATATATATATACAATATATATATATATATATATATATATATATATATATATATATATACAATATATATATATATATATATATATATATATATATATATATATATATATATATATATATATTGTGTATATATATATATACATATATATATAATATATATATATATATATATATATATATATATATATATATATATATATATATATATATATATATATATATATATATATATATATACAATATATATATATATATATATATATATATATATATATATATATTATATATATATATATATATATATATTTATATATACAATATATATATATATATATATATATATATATATATATATATATATATAATATATATATATATATATATATTGTGTATATATATTGTATATATATATATATTGTATATATATATATATATATTGTATATATAATATATACAATATATATATACATACAATATATATATATACAATATATATATATATATATATATATACATATATATATATATATATATATATATATATATATATATATATATATATATATATATATATATATATACAATATATATATATATATATATATATATATATATATATATTGTATATATATATATATATATATATATATATATATATATATATATATATATATATATATATATATACAATATATGACCATAGTTTGGTCATATATTGTATATATATTGTATATATATATATATATATATACAATATATATACAGTATATGACCAAACTATGAAAACCGATGACCAAACTACCTGTTATTTTACGGAAATACCCATCGTATGTAAACGGAAGTTTCCGTTAACAAACGGATTTTTTCCTTTAAAATTCAATGGGTTTTTTCCGTTAAACAACGGGTAGTTTGGTCATCGGCAGCTGCCGCAACTTTTCCGTAAATAAACGGATATTTCCGTTTAAATTAAACAAGTTTTTCTCGTTAAACAACAAAAAGGCAACTCAGTTACCGGATAGTTTCTGTAAATTAAACTAAACTTTAAATAAATTATTTCTAGCAAATCTTATATATATAAAATCAATGGCATGTCTTTGAAAATATTTTCTGAAAACAAATTTTCTTTGATTTACATAAAAGATATTAAAATTTCCGTGATTTACATTTCACTTTAACAGCAAATACACAGATAAATAAAAAAAATAGTAAAGTAATAAACACTTTCTAAAAAATTATTAATAACTTTGATAAAGTATATAGAAGCACATAATAATATAATTATATTACATATTCCTATATACATTTACAATATAGATATACTTAAAAACTTATCTTTAAGTAATATATATTGGTTAAATAACAAATATAAATATAAGTAAATCAAAATCAATCCAAATACACAAAAATACAGTTTTTCCTTTCTATTTCATTTCAAGTCAACTCTAAATCTAAAATCAAAAAAAATAAAGTTTTTGAGTAAGGAAAGATTTTAATATTTAACATAGTAATAAATTATAAAAAAACACTCATTATGTGCAATGGTTACCTAAGAGTTGTTACTCAATATGAGTGATTTAACTAGGCCAAGCAACAAACAACTCTGGATTAAGTTAAAAACTCCTTTGAGCAATAAATAAACACCTAAAAAGAAACAAAAACTTAAATTGAAGTATGATACAAATAGAGGTTTTGAAGTTTTGAATATATCCAATCACAGTTTGTTTTTCATTGTAATGGTGATAACTGAATTTCCTGTTAATGCCATTGTTGGCACCATTTTTGTTAAATAAATAAAAATCTTTATAACTTCTTTAAAATCAAATTCCAATAATTAGTAAATTTAATAACAAAACAACTCAACAATTTAACAAAAAAACCAAATTTTCTTTTCTATAATGAAAACTTATCAAATTATTATTTTTATTTAATATAAACCCATTTCAAAAATCAAATTTAAAATTTATTAATAAAGATACTTACTTAGGTCTAACCTTCAGCCAGCTAAAAAAAATTATAAAACATAACTATAATATAAAAGAAAATAAAAAAATTATAAATGAAATAATTTTTACCTATCTGGTCCATTGTCATCACTAATAAAATAAATATATAATCAATGAAAAACCTTTTACCATTTTTAAAAAAAGATAATTTTTTTTTTGTTTATGCTTAAGTTAGAAATTGTTAAAAACCAAAGTACAATACCTATCTTGGATCCTTTTTTGTTTTGTTTTGCATAATATCTGCCTTGATAGACTATAATAAAATATATTTAAAAAGTATAAAAAGTATTATAATTTTGAAAAATAATAATTTTATTTTCTTTTTGTTCTAACTATAAATAATGAACTTAATGATTAACTATAATACTCATAACTAACTTTTTAACTCTTACACCTTTAAGTGCTTTTTTATCTAAATATAAACAAATATAAACACAAAAATGATATAAATATTTTATATTAGACATTGAAATGGAAACAATTTTGAAACTTAATTACTTTTTGTTTAAACAATATTTAACAATATTATTTATAATTTAATCATATATTTAAAGTAGTTAGAAAAAAAAAAAGAATAATGTAAACAAAGCATTTTGACAAAAAAAAAAAGTCAAAAAAATACTAAAGAACATATTTGATTGTTGTTACAATTTAGATATTGGTATAGAACGATTAAGAAATTTTTAGAAAAGGAATCAATCGAAGTTTTAATAACCACCATTAGTACAGTTTTGTGAGTGGTGAGAATTAAAAGAAAAGATGATTTAAATGGCAAAAAAGTTAAACATTGGCATTGACCATTAAAGCTAAATCTATGTTAACTTTTTCAGATGAAAAACTTATTAATAAAAAGACAAACCACCAACTATTTCAGAGTTATCTAGAAAAGCTTAAATATCGAGAAAGTCAATTAAATGTTACAATGATAAAATGTTCAATTTTGAAAAAAAGTTTCAAAAGGATGTTTACGTGCATTATAACCTTGAGCAATTGAGAGGTTTACAAAATCAGAAGAAATTTATAGATTTGTTAAGATAAACTGGGAAAAAAGTCATTACAACTGATAAAAAACTATTCTACTTTACTGATTGTGATCAAAAATCCAAACATATTTACATAATTAAATATCAAAAAGCACCGAGAGTACGTTATCATTAAAAGAAAAATTTGTTAAAATCTATCAACGTATTGGTTTCAGGGTTTATTCAATAATGTAAAAGATATATATATATATATGTACATATATATATATATATATATATATATATATATATATATATATATATATATATATATATATATTATATATATATATATATATATATATATATATATATATATATATATATATATATATATATATATATATATATATATATATATATATATATATATATATATATATGTACATATATATATTATATATATATGTACATATATATATAATATATATATGTACATATATATATATATATATATATATATATATATATATATATATATATATATATATATATATATATATATATATATATATATATATATATATATATATAGGTATTTGGATGTTCCATATGGTGGTGTATTGATTGTTGGCACAACAGGGCGCATTGGGTAATCTTTTTCAGGTTTGTGCGCTTTAACCATTCCATATATTCTAGTGCTTTGTTGTGTAACACCTAGAATATATGGAATGGTTAAAGCGCACAAACCTGAAAAAGATTACCCAATGCGCCCTGTTGTGCCAACAATCAATACACCACCATATGGAACATCCGAATACCTCGTTAATATCATTCAACCAACATTAAATAAAAACAAAAATAGACTTATTAATTCCAATAGCTTTGTTAATGAAGCCAGACAATGGAAAATAGATCCCAATGAGGTTTAAGTTTCATTTGATGTAGTCAATTTATATCCGTCCATACCCTTTGCGAAGCTATTCCAGTTATTATTGATATATTGAATAATAATATAGACGACTTAAAGACTCGAACTAAACTATCTCTTGTAGACATACACCAATTAATAGAATTTTCACTGAGTATTTGCTATTTTCTATATGAAAACAAAATCCGAATAATACCTAATTCAGGTTCTATAGGTTTGTCTTTAATGGTTGTTATGGCGGACGCGTTTCTACAGAATATAGAAAGAAAAGCTCTTAATATAGCTACTATTTGTACATGTGAACCAAAAAATTTTGTGAGATATGTAGACGACTGTCACGCTTGCTTTAACTCAATAAAATAACAACAAATGTTTCTAAATACCCTAAACGAACAAAACCCTGCCATAAAATACACTGTTGAACTTGAAAACCACCAAAAACAACTTAACTTTCTAGATGTTAATATTACAAACACAATGCATGGAGCTTATGAATTTCAAATACATCGAAAATAAGCAATAACTAATATTCAACTAAAACCTAACTCAAACATCAGTCCTAATATTATCTTTGGCGTTTTCAAAGGGTTTTTATGTCGTGCAAAAATATCTCAAACAAGAAATTGATTTTCTAATAGAAATGTTTGTTGAAAACGGGCACAACAAGAACAATCTAATTAATATCGCCAGAAACTTTCTAAAAAACGAATTAAAAAATACCAATTATAAACCAACTGACAACCAACCATTTATAAAACTACCATGGATACCAATCGTTGGTCCCAAACTTAGAAAGGAACTTAGAAAACAAAACATAAAAGTTATATTTACATCCGCTTCAAATTTAAACACTATTTTATGCAACAATAAGACAAAACTTCCTCCAAATACAAACCCAGGCGTTTACCAACTAAAATGTTCATGCAATTCTATATACATTGGAGAAACTAAGAAGAAAATTATATCGAGATGTATTAAACACCAGAAAAATAGTGTTAAAGAAAAATGGGCCAGTTCAGGTGCTACCGAACATTCCAAATCATGCGAGGGTACATTTGATTGGCTGCATCCCAAAACCATATCAATCGCTCCAGAGTATCATATTCGGAAAATTCGAGAGTCACTCGAAGTAAACAGAGCTAAAGTTCGACAAAAACTTGGAAGTGATGAAAGATTTTTAAATAGGGATGATGGTGATTACGTGACGACAAAAATTTGGGGGCCATTTTTTGTTAGATTATTTGACGTCAACATTTAAAGCTATTTTGTATTTTGTTATGCTCTTTTTAATGTTATCTTTTTAACGGTTAGTTTTTATTACAACAATTGCCTTAGTAACGATTTTTATTTATTACACCCGATGACGCTGATCACAGTAGATCAGCGAAATATCGGAGAAAATATATATATATATATATATATATATATATATATATATATATATATATATATATATATATATATATATATATATATATATATATATATATATATATATATATATATATATATATATATATATATATATATATAATATATATATATATATATATATATATATATGTATGTAAAATTCAATAAAAACGGCTTTAACAAAATTTTTAAAATTCCTTGATCGCTTGACATAACCCGACGGGCATTTGTTTTTAAAAGTTACGTTCTAAATGTATTTTAAACGTCTTCTAAACATTCTTACGCAAAAAACGTTTAAAAGACATTCAAAATACATTTAGAACGTAACTTTTAAAAACAAATGCCCGTCGGGAAGGTGTTTACCTTTAATTATAAAATTAAAAAGTAGTTGAAATTTATATGAAACTGACGTTTTATTACTGTTTGTTTAATAATAAAATAAAGTTACAGTAGCGTGGAAATTTTTTTTTTTCATAAAGAAATATCTTATGCGTAATATTAAAATCTAACAACAGTCGCATACTATTGATTTTTAGTACTTTAAAATAAGTTGAAAAGCTTTGTTTTTGCACACATAATTAATAATGGATCGCATATTATCCAACAACGAGTTAGCAAAGTTGCTGAATAAATTCGGTACCCATAAACTTCTTCCGTCGGAACTCACTCATACTTTTAACGATTTCTTTGGGGATCGGAATGCTAATTCTTCCGGTAGCAGTGATGATGTGGTATGGATTTCACTGATGATCACGACATGTCTTCACTTGAAGTAACTCTAACTACTGAAACGTCGATTGTTGAAACGGAGATTGCTGAAACGTCAGCTGATGCACTTGAGCCAATGTCACTTGAAGAAACTCCAACAGCTGAAACGTCAAATTGTCAAATAAACGTCAATTGTCGATAAGGATAAAAAAAAAATTATATAGTTTCTGCAAATAGGATGCGAATATCACAAATGTGACAAAAACAAAAGATGTTTGACTCGTTTCGATACAAATGTAATACATGATCTAGATTACAATGCTTTGATATCGATATTATGGTGGAGCATTAAAACAGACTTAATGACTTGATTGTGGGTCAACTCAGTGCTCTTCTGCACCGTGACAAACATTTAATGACATCAAACATTCCCGAAAGCAATAATACTTTGCGTTCTAAAACATTGGATTATCGCTTTCGTGGATACTCCATTTGTATGAGATATTTTTCTGCATGGCATCGGTAGAAAACGCTTGCGTTTACTGCCCAAATCTCCGCTCCACGCTTGCAATAAAAACAATGCAACTGCTGTTGTCTTATTCTTAAGTAATTCTGAATCAAATAATGCTCTAGGGTTGCTCGGAAAAACAGCAAGCATTCGAGACCACAGGATGCTGCTGCTTCCTTTATGGGAAACTAAAAAGGATATTCATGACAAATACGTGGCTTCATGTCAATCTGCAGGAATGCGAGTTCTTTAAATAGTCAGCTTCAAACGTATTTGGAGAGATGCCTAGGCAAATGTAATTATTCAAAAACCAAGAACACATTTATGCAGTGTCTGTCAAAGAAATACCATAAAACTGTCAGATCTGGCAAATCTAGATGACGACATCAAACAATCTCGGGTTGATGACATGGTTGCGCATTTAAATTTAGTTAAGATAGAACGTTTAGCATACCACCAATGCATCGAAAAAGCAAAAGAAAATACAACTGCACATATCTCGTTTGAATAAGCGCAGCAAGTGTTTTTACTAAATTTGCCAGATCAGCCCGTTGTCATATTTTTCTTAACTCCATTCAAGGTGGGCAATATTGGCATAGCAAATAAGGCAGCTGGTATTTAAAATAACTATTTTATTCCCGATATCATGCTTACGGGTAAAGGTGCCAATTGCATAATAAGTGTGCTGCATTACTACCTAAAGGATGTAACTCAAAACACGATAGTATTTCATGCAGACAATTGTGTTGGACAAAATAAGAATAATATTGTCATGAACTATATATCTTGACGTGCGGCAGTTGGATTAAATAAGAAAATAACAATTATGTTTCTCCCCGTAGGGCATACAAAATTTGCCCCCGACGCAGGTTTCGGAATACTTATGGCAAAATTTCGACGATCGGAGGTTGCTTTAGTAGAAGATCTTGCTAATTGTATCGTGGCAAGTACAGCAATCTCAAAATTAAACAAAGCAATCATAGTAATGAACATGGTAACATATTTGTTCCATCCTACGAATGGCAAGACGTTCTGACATTGTCTTTCAAAATGATTCCAAACATTAAACAATGACACTCGTTTACTTTTGATTATTCAAAACGAAGAATAGTCACTTGTAAGATGAATTCTAAGAGTCCGGATGTAGTTTTTAATATATGGCGAACCGACAACATCAAGAGCATTGATATTCCTGACGTTATCCCACCGTCGCCAGTTGCACCCGAAAGACAATGGTATTTGTTTAAAAATATTCGAGTACTTGTGCCAGAACGAAGAAGTGACTCGATATGTCCAAAACCCCTCTGTGAAAGGGTCACTTTTGGACAAGTCAGATCTAATAAAAGCAAAGGAAGTTTGCGGTCTTGCTCAATATGCTGCAGCCATGGTTCACAACGAAGTTCCTCTGGTCATTACAATAGGAAAAGTAGCTAGAGCGGCAACTGCATTTACCAAATTGAATCGTCGTGCATCCGAAAAAACAAATTCTTTAACAATTGCTGATCCACCGGAATCTTCCTTAGCTACTGGATTGCCACCGTCAAAGCGGAAGCAGGCATCGTATTCTTATTGCAAGCAGTTGGGACATATTAAAAAGTTGTTAAAGGTTTACCTGTTTGCCCGCAAAGATGCGCAGATTTCCAAGTACAATTTTTTTGTATTTTTATGTTAACAAGATTTTCTATAATTAAGTTCATTTTTTATTTAATTTTTGGCTAATATTGCTGTAGAACAGACCTTAAGTTTACAAGAACATTGTAAACTATTACAACTAAGTTCGTTTATAAGTATCTTATAAATTGTCGATGTCACTAATGTTACTAATCAAAGACAGTTGACTTGGTGCCATTTCTTATATGCACTGTTTAAAATTTTTTTTTTAGCTTCTGTTAAAAACTTGAAAAAATGTTTATTAGAATTGGTTTGCAATTGATAACAAATATACAAAATGTATAAACAATTCAAAGTATTCATTAACTTAGTTACCGTAGACTTGGTATCTTTTCATATTGACATTATGTAGAAGTAAAGCTCTACTTTTTGTTAATAATCTTGACAAATATTTATTTTTGAAGGTTTTCATTTTATTTTTAAACTATAAGAAAAAATTTTATACTTTAAGAAAAAATTTTAAAATAAACACAAACTTCATTAATATATGATAGTCATACAATTTTAAAGTGTGTCATACTTTCAAAATGTTTTTTCTCAATATTTTTATTTCTAAAGCGTTTCCATTCAAAAATTCTGTAAAATTGCTTATAATGCTTCTATCAACCTGATTTTTGTTTTATTTTGTTTTTAACTCTATGCAGCTGTGTCAATAACTCCATTTCATAGACTTGGTACCTTATCTCATCTTGCGCCTCATATTAAGTGACAGTTTATTGGATTTAAACCATGTATTAATTTTATTTATTTTGGCATTTCGGAATTTGATCCACTCAATATAATTTGATAAAAATTAGTGCAAATGTAGCCACTAGTCACACCAAACTGTGGACAAAATTTCAGCCTAATTGGATGACTGGTGTAGGATTTGTTGCAGTTTTAGTTAATGTTTTGTCAGTTTTTTGCTACTCATACCTCAAAGCGTTACCAATTTGAAATTGCTATTTATACCTCGCGTTACCAATTTGAAATTGCTACTTATACCTAAAAGCGTTACCACTTTGAAATTCGGTCACTATTTTTAAAATAACGGTTACATAAGTGTTCTACTATGTAATACCAACAATTTTCGTTATAATTATTGTATCGGTACATGTACGGTTTTCATTTTATAGACCAAAATAGTGATTTTCTACTTAAAGCGTGAGTTAAATAGTCTTATGCTAATAGTGCAAACACGGCCTTCAAAGTGGAGGTGGTCAACCCCTTAATTTTTATAATAAAATCCATAGTTTTTAAAATAATTGCCTATATTTCTAAAACAAAAGGTCCTCGCAAAAAAAATATAAAGAAGGACATGACCTCCTAGCCTTCCCGGCGTTCACGGCCATGTATGCTTCGCTTGAATATACCAACATTTCCTAAGGTATAAACTGCTACCAAAAAAAAAGCTAAAAAAAATTTAAAAACCTGGTGAAAGGACTACCAGTTAGTAAAACAAAAAAAATGTAGACCTCCTAAAATATTTTGTATTGACCTCCTTAATTGTGAAAACTATTTAAACCCTATTTTTTACATTGTATTACCATCAAATATCTAATTACATTTTAAGAAATGTTTTTTTGATTTTCTCCACCAAAAGATTATTATTAAATAGCTCAATGTACTCTTTTAATACAAATACTCTATAATACTACTTTTAGAGATGGTGAAAATATTCATTATACGCCATAAAGTATGAGTTTCAGCAGCCTAATTTCTAATAACTCAAATGATGTTCTTTAAAGATGCTTACTGTTTAGATCAATTATGCAGCGCAACAATCTTTCTTTGTACTCTGGATGATTATTATTTCGATTATGCCTCAACCAATGTTGATAAAAAATTTTGATGAGAAGTTTCGACAGTTTGTTCACTTCAGGGCCCCAAAGGGGGTTCTTTGTGACTGATGAAATCCTTGATGTGGTAGAAAACCGCGTGAATTTTGGGTTTACTCAAAAGTTATCATTAGGTAACAC